TTCTCCTGGTTCTCCTAATTCTCCTGGTTCTACTAGTCTTCCAGGTTCTCCTGATTCTCCTGGTTCTTCAGGTTTTCCTGTTTCTTATAGTTCTCCTAATTCTCCTGGTTCTTCTGGTTCTCCTGGTTCTCCCTCCTGGTTTTCCTAGTTCTCCTGGTTCTCCTGGTTCTCCTAGCTCTCCTGCTTCTTCTGCTTCTTCTGGTTCTCCTGGTTCTCCTAGTTTTCCTTGTTCTCCTGGTTATCCAGGTTCTCCTGGTCTTCTGGTTCTTCTGGTTCTCCTAGTTTTCCAAGTTCTCCTGATTCTCCTGGTTCTTCAGGTTTTTCTGTTTCTTCTAGTTCTCCTGATTCTCCTGATTCTACTGGTTCTCCTGGTTCTCCCTCCTGGTTTTTCTAGTTCTCCTGGTTCTCCTGGTTCTCCTAGTTCTCCTGCTTATTCTGGTTCTTCTGGTTCTCCTAGTTCTCCTGGTTCTCCTTGTTCTCCTGGTTCTCCTACTGGTTCTCCTGGTCTTCTGGTTCTTCTGGTTCTTCTGGTTCTCCTGGTTCTCCAGGTTCTTCTGGCTTGGTAAGATATCCTGGGAACCTGAGTCAGGTGACCGCTAGCTGATGGTAAAGAAACCATCTGGTCTACAGATGTCAGTAGAGGGGGTGGGGGTGTGGGAGAGGGGGTCAGCTNCCTCGGATACTGGGGGGAAGGTCAGCTGCTGCAATATGGTTTGGGTAAATGGTTTATAGAGAACGGTTTATATAACAATATTACACCTTGGTGTTATAAGTATAATAGATCCATAACTATAGAGAAGGGATAGACCATATAAAATAACAAAACACTGGGCTTTTAACTTCTTTTCTACTTTTAATGTTTAAAGATGTCAAAATTTCTAAAATCTATAAGAGACACGTCTTTAACACATTTACCTTTAAGAAAAAAATCTCGGGCACTGTGCAGCGTTTTGGGCCCTTTTTAACAAATGTCAAAATTGTTTGCGTTCTAACAGTTTACCCTTATGTATAAAATTTTGCACATAAATTGTTAACAAACGATTTAGTTTTTCCACTTAGCTTAACGAAACATAACGTTAAAAAAGCAATTGATAAGACTAAAATTTTGAAATATGTGAAATCAAACCTTAAAATTTTTTTTTAAAAAGCTACGTTTTACCGAATAAGTTCCAGGAAATGTCTGAAATCAAATGAATGAAATTTATTTAATTATATAACTCATCTCATGATTTGATTTTTCAACAAAAGCCAAGATTTGTCCCAAGTAGAAAGTTAATCTGATTCTAGATCTCAAAAACAAAACGCGGAAGATCAGAGGTTAAATGTAGTTGAACTTAGTATTGATAGTTGAACCACTTTTTGATGTTCATTAATTCCGACCTTAAGTAATGTTCTCAGATCCGTATCTACTTATCCGTCTAAGGACCGAGTAAGAATGAAAGGAAATGCTACATGGTTCTTCTTTCACCAAAATTCTAGAATAAATAAATGTTTTTTTAAAATTTTTTCTTTCAAAATTTTTCCCCGTGTTATGGCGGTTTCCTATTATGCATGCAAACTCCTCAAATTGCGGTAAAATACCATCCCACCGGGATACCAAGATGAGAATACGATTGTACAGAACCTTGTACAGAACCTTGTACAGAACCTTGTACAGAACCTTGTACAGAACCAAAGTGATTATTTATTCACTTTGGTACAGAACTATGCAAACAGATTTCTTTATGTGTTTATGAATAAAATAAACTATACAGACAGGTTATTATACTTTCATTATCAAGGGATGTAATCCGTCCAATAATAATGAGTTATGTACAATTCCCCTGTACAAACTGTTTATCAGCATTCTATACTCTAACCTTTCTCCGATTGACAGCTTCAGGCGACTTTATATATCTCTGGCAATTTTAAATGCTATAAAAAGGCAGACCATACTTTGTAAATGGCAGGACTAGGGCTATTTGTGACAATCGTTTCATCAATCATATTTGTGACAATCGTTTCATCAATCATATTTGTGATTATCGTTTCATCAATCATATTTGTGACAATCGTTTCATCAATCATATTTGTAAAATTAGACTGAAATTCATTGAACAGTACATAACTTATAACAAGTACACTACTACTCTATTCAATTATAAGATCAAGCCTCGAAGTTTTCCCTTTGAAAATCGTTTGATCAATTGTATATTAATTCCGGGTCTTTCTGATACTGTACTGTACAATACATGTTTCTGATTAGTACTGTACTATACAATACATGTTTCTGATTAGTACTGNTTTCGTTCCAGTATACAATACAATACGGATATCACAGCCTGACATGGGATCCATCTTTCACATAAAAAATCAATTAAATATTCTGGTCATAGGAAACTATTATGTGAATTATCAAAATTATCAAAATTCGATGCTTTTATTCTCCTCGGATACTAAACAAACACTGATGCATCTATTCTTGTTTACAAATTCCGCCCAGAGAGAACTGGTTTCAAATCAATATGTACGCAGACTCGCAGAGCATACGCAACTGCAATTAACTTTCCTTGCATTATAACCTTGATATGTTGTTGCAAACTTGCAAGGCATCGAATGAATATAAGGAAACAAACAGTATTAATTCCGCACAGTATAAAAGGGTTCTTAACCCATTCTTGTAACAGTCTGTATATTAACTCTGCCTACTTGATAATAGAGCTTGTTCTTAAGGTATATTTTTTGATTATGAAACCGAGAGAGTCTTTTATTTGAGCTTATTATATAGAAAGAAAAGAGTTATAAAAAGAGAAACAGATTCAAACATGATTAGAGAGATCAATAAATAGAGTTTATTTTTTGTATAGAGTAATAAAAAGAGGAACAGATTTATTAGAGAGTTATAAAGGGCTCACTGATGATCATAGAAAGACTATGATTTTTATATATTTTTTGATTAAAGTAGTGTAAATCCTAAAGGTTTTGACAAAGTATAAAGAGTTATTCATCGTCTTTAAATCCTCATCCTTTGTGGTTAACCCTGTACTTATTGAAGTACATTGCGTTTAAAATAAAATAAAATCACGCAGCAACAGTTAATATTATGGATGTGCGACAGTAAAATTTAAATTAGAATTTTATTTTTACGTTTCATACAACAGAATAGGATTAATTGCGTATTTTCAATGATTAAATTGATTTTTCTAAATAAGGAATTTTATGAAAGACATGAAAGAATATTTGATTTTTTTTCTGAAAATTTTAGGATATGGGATCGAGTACATTTCGAGTACATTTTGAAGGTTAAAACGAAATTTTAGAGCAAAATATTTCAATGACGACCCCCTAATTAATGGACATTGTACCCAACAGTTTCACTCTTTAGTACAATTAAACGACGTTTAGTGGATGTAAACGCAATTAATATTTTCGAGAATGGGACCGAGCACATTTTCGAATATAAGGCCTGATTTTGAAGGTTAAAGCGGTATTTTAGAGAAAAGTGCTTCATTTATGAAAAAAGAAGCCGGAGCGCTATTACATATGTAACACAATACAACTATGTTTAGTAAGCAAAAAAGCCTAAACTGAACTTTTTTTCAGAGACACCTTGTGTATGTACAATGTACAAACACACCTACAATATATATATTTAATTGTATACATCCAAGGATGTAAGGCAAGGAAAGTCATTTCAGAAGTGTACACATCTTTAGTACTGCAGTGTGCTGTCTCTGGGCGCTAATGTAAACACAAGACGGATGTCGAAGCCTGACATGGGATCCATCATTCACAGAAAAAATCAATGAAATATTCTGGTCATAGGAAACTATTATGTGAATTATCAAAATTATCAAAATTTAATGCTTTTAACCTCCTCGGATACTAAACGAACACTGATGCATCTATTATTGTTTACAAATTCCGCCCAGAGAGAACTGGTTTCAATATGTACACAGAGTATACACAACCGCAATTGACTTTCCTTGCCTTACATTCTTGTATACATCCATCTATAACCACTCTGCTTTATGTATAAGAGTGTCCTAGTTAAAATGGAAACGAGTGAGTGAGTGAGTGAGTGAAAGTGTGAGTGAGTGAGAGTGTGAGTGAGTGAGAGTGTGAGTGAGTGAGTGAGAGTGTGTGTGAGTGAGAGTGTGAGTGAGTGAGAATGGTAGTGAGAGAGAATGTGAGTGAGTGAGGGTGTGAGTGAGTGAGTGACGACTTTCACATTGTCTTAAATCAACTATGAAAAACTTTATTTATTTTATATTGTTTTGTCTATTTATTATTTAACTTATATAAAAAGCGTAATAAATTAATGTATCAATTATGTTATTTTGAATAATTCCTGTATGCTTCTTTACTAATTAATATTCGCCACAATATTATTATAAGAACTTTCTTATCAGATGCGTAGTCAGGTGGGACTATGGGGGCTCATCCCCCCTTTGAACAGTGAACTCTATGGTTTCTAGGGGGTTTGGAGCCCACGAAACATGACAGTAGCAAGACAACTTAAAGGCCGTCTTTGATCTCTGACATTATTTGCAGCATTCATTCGTCAACATGTATAATTCTTGAAACAAAAACCACAAATTTCCAAAATGTGGTCTTCCTTTTTTGTACTGTTGTGGCGGAAGACAATATCTAATGGGTTTGAGAACTGGACGCGGCGGAGAGATTTGATTTCATGTTTCCTACATGATTTAAATATACCACATTTTTAAAACTTTATTGCTTCAAACTTGTCATTATTTGAGCGTAGCTAAACTGTCAATATTACCCGAGATAAAAAGAATATTTCGTTAAGATTTCATCTATATAAAAACAAAATTGTCGAAATCTGAACAAAATTCTTTATTTCTCCAGTAATATTAAAAGCGGCGTGAAGATTTCTAGCTACAGAAACTATGAAGTAAATGGTCAGAATCAAACATTTTTCAACATAATTAATCAGATAAAGTTTTAAAGGTAACATTGTAAATTGGACATACCTTTAATCTCCAATTGATATAATAGTAAGTGCCAATAGTTTATTGAAACATCTAATAACATTATATTCCCATGATTCTTAAATGTTCATTTGAACATGATATAGCAGGTATACCATAGATATATTCATCTCTATATTTCTTCACGCTCATGCTGCTAGTTGGGTAGGCAATATGACTAAAGTCAATATAAATAAGTTTACGAGTCAACAAGACCTCTGAAGAGTGGAGAGGATGTTGTCCGTCTATGCAAATAACCAGAGTGTCCTCAAAATAGGGAGTAGAGGTTGTATAGCTCTCTACTTGATCGCATGTTGGAAGTTTCGTTCCAGCTTGGCCAGTAAACTTATACCAGAAGACAGATGTTCCTTGACTTTTTAACAGTTCACAATCATTAATGCCACCAAAATCTAGACAAACATATTTTCTGATTTTTCAGTAAAAATTTTTTTTTTCATCTTCTGGTTAGCTTTTCAAGGGTTAAAATATGGTTTCAATCTTAGAGTCTCTCATTTTAGTTGCAGGTCTATAAGTTCAAAAGTAAGGGGATTATTAAAGACTGTTAAAATTTAACTTTGTGGTCTAGTCTTCTATCAAAGAAGCCCTACTGACTCTGGAATCCTACACTTGACAAATTTTTGATCAGAAATATATATTTTTTCCTTTATTTTTCAGGTTTCTGCTTCTTTCATCAAACGTAGAAATTTGAAATTGTTTAAAGTTGTCTGCACAGTCTGGCAATCCAGTATGACAGTCTGTACACTCCTCAGATTCTTCTTCACAATCAGCATAGAGATAACACTGAAATTTAGCAAAGCTGGTTTCATCATACCAGGTGTACCTAGTGCAATCTGGAGATTTCTTGCAAAGCTGTTTGCACATCCGCTCTGTAGGGGTTGAGATGCTGAAAATTGGAGAAATTGACTTGTCTTTAGATATCTTGCAGGCCTTGTTAGCACTGCAGAGACAGTCCCTACTGCCACTGATTCCATCAGAGGGAACAGAGATACCAACCGAGCTGAACAGTTTACACACATTGGTTGGTTCTGTTGTATCTGCCTTTAACCATGTATAGGCCATACACTTAGGATTCTCTACAGTAAAATCATCATCTATAAAGAAGGAACTGTCCTAAATATTAAAATAGTCTTTCGTAAATAAATTTTTTTCGAATCAATCATATAAATTGTAATGATTTTCCTAAACATTTGGATAGACATGCGAACTGATTCATGTCTCCTCTGATGAAATCAATGTCATATGTATTGTCCCAACTGTATCCCTTGTTGAAGCAGTTCTCTGCATCTAAATAACAAAAATAAGTTTGTAAAAAATAAACTGCTTTAAAATGATTCTCTTATAACAGATCTCCAAAAGTACTTTTACCTGAAAACTCGATATTGTTGCAAGGTTGCTCTTCCTCCATAGTGTCTGAGCAAGGAGCTCCCCTGTTTTTAGGAAGAATGCAGTGTCTATGCCGCTTCTTGAAAGAAATTCCATTCCTCCAGAAGCATTCACTCCAATCCGACCAGCTAGTTACATACCCATCTTCCTGTGAAATCAAAATTAAAAGGTTTTGCATATGATGGAAGTTCAACAACTTTATCTACAGCTTTATTAGCAACCAAAAATTGGATAATAAAACTTGACTCAATTTTACATCAAAGGTAGTGATTAGTAGTTACAAAGGTAGGTTGCTATTGAGTACATTTAATAACTAAGTCAGTTGGAAGAATACAAAAAGTTATTAATCTATGTAATAATTCAAAGCTTAGGAAAAGGTATGTATGGGTGTATGCACTTTGTTACCTAATGCTGGCAAAACGGCAAAAAGTTGTAAGTTCAAAAAAAAGTTACATTTGACATAACAGAAAACATGAGATAGCTGTTTGAACCCTCTGCCTAACATTATGACAAGGGAGGTTGTCATCTGCTAAGATATCCCCTTCAAATTGATACATTTATTCCTATACCCCTAAGAAGAACCGCATTACAATAATCATAAAGGATTAAGCTCTTTTTACCTTTGGTCCTAAAATCATCTCAGAGGACACACTCTGACTTGAAGCATTAGCATATTTACATGTGTATCTACCCTCAGTAGCATCATTCATATCAAAGGAAAGGATGGAAGTCTCCACTGTTGACTCATTGAAATACTCGATGCTATAATTTCCCATAACATCAACATCAATGGGCTGCTCAGATGAGTTGGCATAAATAACCCAGCTCAAAGACAAATCCTTATTTTGAACAGTTGGTGAACAGTAAGATTGAAGCCAGATTGAACATCTCAGATGCACTTGTGATCCTGGTTTTACTTTAACTAGTTCTGAGCTGTGTATAATTGGATATTTCATTTTATACCAAAGTTTCATTCGCTCCAAGCAGTCATCAGAACAAACATATTCCATTTCTGCTCTCATCCAACTATGTAACTTTGTTATTTCAGCCTCTTGTGTACTCTTTTCAACAGAATCAGCAAGCACAGGCATGTAAAGAGGATCAATGAAGGTGGTAGGAATATCATGTGTTAAATTCAACCTTAATTTGAACTGATCATTCCATGACTTTGATTTTTCTATCATTGTTAAATTTGCCATTTCTCTAAGAAGTCTAGATCTCTGATCATGACGAAAGAATGTAAACTGTATGATCATGCTTGAATACAGATCATTACCAAAGAGTTTTTGAAACATTTGAATCATGCTCTGGCTTCCAGTGTGAAACCTTGGTGCTGTTCCTTTGAAAATCAAGATGAAAAGGTCAACCTTTTTAACATCCATGATTGTCTTGACTATGCCCCGCATATGCTTTTCATCTCTGCACTGAGTATCTCCAAGGCCAGGAGTGTCTGTAACCGAGATGCATAAGTTGGTCTTGTCTCCCAAGAAGTATCCAGTAAGTGTCTCAGTGCTGACTGTTACTGAGTCAGCCCCTACTCCAACTTCAAAACCCTCGGAGGCATTTAGTCCTAAGATATAATTACCAAACGTGCTTTTACCAACTCCAGTTTCACCAATGAGCATAATATGATAAGAGTTAGCCTGAGAACATTGTAAAACTTCTTCTGTGTCTCCTATACCTTCAGATGCCTCTAGGTCAAGGGCTCTACATATTTTGAATGATTATTGATTATTGATTGAGTGATTATGTAGAATAAACCAAAATTTAAAACGCTTATAAAGATGTGCAAATCAAAACCAGGTTTTTTTTTGCAGAAACTTCATGATTATTTTGACACATTAATAAGGGCTTTTTGAGCAATAATTTCAAAAATTCTTTATCCTAATCTTAATCATTTATCAATCCTGAGGCCACCAACAAACAATAAGATCAGCAGTGGCAGCATCTTTTATTGAGATATATATTTTCTTCAACTATTTTGAAATTGAAGAATAGAGTCAGTTAAAAGTGTATTAGTGTGTCCACAAAATATTATAACTTAGATAAAGTTTAAAGATCAACTGTGATATCTATGCTATGATAGCATTTTTAAAATGTAAATCAAAAGAGGTTCTAGATATAACAATGGTGTCGATCAATGATATGATTATAGATTAAAAATCATAAAAAAAAGACTGCTGCAAAATCTATAAAAGACGACATGTCATTCTCTTCTTTCAAAGAGAGGATTACATGTTTACTGGAACACACTATTACACAATGGGAAAAAAACTATGGAAAAGGAAGACGACATTAAAAGACTCAAGTTAGATTTAAAAAAGTCCAATAAAAATGAAACACAGCAATTGTAAACTGATTTTAAACTATTTGCTTTGTGACAACATCAAATACAAATAATGATTGATTTAATGTCATCTTCCTTTTCCACAGTTTTCTGGCTCTCACTGTCCATACATTTCAGAAGTTTCAAAGTGTTTTGGCAAAAATATGAATTTCAAACCTAAAAGATAAAAATATGTAGATTCTGTTTTATGAAAAAATATCTTTCCTCAGAGCTTGCTTCTTCTGAACTGAGAATTTAAGAGTTTTTAGCCTGGTTTATATCAGAATTCTTGTCCTCTTTATGTAGACTAAACATTAAACATATGTGCTCAATTCAAGTAGCAATAGAGATAGGACTGCTACATATTTGGTGTAGTCAATTCAAAACAAAATAATGGTAAATTTTTTAATTCAACATTGAAAGGCCTCTTCCCGCACTTATATCAAAAGTTACTTTTTCTAAACCTTACATTCAATGTTTATATGAACTAGGCTTAGATTAATAACAATACAGATAGAACATTAGATGTCGTCTCTTCAAGATTTAGGGGTTTTTCGTTCACAATAACCCCTAAATCTTGAAAAGACGAAATCTATTGTTTTATCTGTATTTTTATTAATCTATGGAACTAGGCTTTGAAGGAGCTTCACGTCTCAATTTCTTATAATGATTTTAGCTTTTGAATAGCGTATTCTTATTTGTATAATGCATGCATTTTAAAGCAAAAAATTGTTCCTGGATTTTCCGGTTTTTATTGGCGGATATCCGAAATCTTCTGGGGCAAATTTTTAATTTTGATCTGCTATAAATCTTTGTGAAGTCCTGCTAAAAATGTTGGCCAAAGATAATCACAATCATAACTTTAGTCTAACAGTTTGTAAAATGGTTTAGCTATGATTTATACAGTGTTAACCAGAAAACAGTAGAATCATATTTATCTTGAATTCTTTAAATTATGAATTAGTGGATACAGATGTTGTAATTTGAACTTTTTTTTAGAAAAATATGTCCAATAAATAATCAGTCATCAATTACAAATTTGAGAAAAACTAGAAGAAACTCAGTCTTCTGGTGAGCAAGAGCACAGTATGTTTTTACAAATTGACAACTTGTAAATATCGTAAGTTAAAGCCCATCTCTATGCTAGCCTACCCTTTGGGGTCAAAGTTTATCACACGAAGACTCTTCGAAGGCTATATTTTTTTTGCAATTTAAAATACTTAGGGTTTTTATCAATATTTTGGTAACAAAATACAGAGATTCCCACAAAGGATGACAACTGCACAGAATTTATAGTTGGTAGTACCAAAATTGCCGAAATCTCAACAACATTTTTCATATCTCCTGTAATATTGAAAGCACAAAAATGCAGACTAAATTTGGGAATTGCCGGGATTAAGTCGTCTTCCTATTTTCAAGTTTTGTAGGACAAATCGCGGGACGTGTACTGTATACGTTGTACCTATACTCTACCCTTTCTCCGCCTAGAACTTTTCAAATGACGAGTTCATGATGTACAAGGGGTTGTACACTTTTCAGCTTTACAGTCTGCATTAGCAATCTATATTCTTGTATATCTATGGTTGTATAATTAAAGAATAAAAACAAATTTCAACCTTAAGGATCGTTAGTCTTGATCAATGATCAGTTCAAGTTTTTTTTGTGAGACAAACAGTAACCTCCTAAAACTGTAAAATAGGAAGACGACACAAGTTAAAATTTTAATTAGTCCAATGAAAATGAAACACAGGTTAACTGTCCTGTGAACTTTTGGTATAAATATAAGCTTTACAACAACATCAAATACATACAAACATTGTTAAATATGGTCTTCTGTTCCATAGTTTTATGGGGCTCAGGGTGTCCCAATAAACATGGGAATCGAGAGACAACTGGAAAGTCGTCTTTGATTTATGGTTTACTCTGTTGATTGAAGTTTAACAATTCAAACAAAATTTTAAGAATTAAAACATTATGACAAAAATATAATAATGGTTTAATGTAAAATGTGCCCCCCCTCACCGCTCTTGTCATTTCCTAAAATAAATTTGTGCTTGCAGAAGGTTGGTTCAAAAGTCGTCTTTAAAATAACTAATCTTTAGTTGGTTAGAGGATGTAGAATGTTGATTGATCCCAAGGGCGTACAAGGAGAGGGGGGGGGGGGCACAAGCTGCACGTGCACAACCACCCCACCCCTCTGTGTTATATCAAGTTTAATTTTGTAGATAAAATTTAAAGTGTAATTTTGTAGACGAACTTTTAAGTGTAATTTAGTAGACGTAATTTTAAGCGTAATTTAGTAGACGTAATTTCAAGTGTAATTTAGTAGACGAAATTTCAAGTGTAATTTTGTAGACGAAATTTCAAGCGTAATTAAGTTGACGTAATTTCAAGTGTAATTTAGTAGATGTAATTTCAAGTGTAATTTAGAAGTTAAAATTTCAAGTGAAATTTAGTAGACGAAATTTTAAGTGTAATTTAGTAGACGTAATTTCAAGTGTAATTTAGTAGACGTAATTTCAATTTCTATTTACAAAAGGGATTTTCCCGATTTCTAACGGTACTCTTTAAGCAATGATCTGAAATGTGGAGATATCGTCGTTTTTCTTCTTGCTTGATTAATTCCGACCATTTACTCAATTCTTTCTAAAGCAGAAATGCGCAAGTGACTGAATTGACAACCCAAATTAAAAATAATTAAAATTCAAAGAGACAGGATGAATATTTCATTCATAATTGACCAGACAAAGGCATTTTCTTCAAACTTAGAATAAATAAAGGATTGGGCAACTTTTCTTTGTTTTAGAAAATGTTAGGTTTAAAATCATTTCTAACAGAGACTAGTACCTTTTATCAAAACCAAAATGGTCCTCATTATCCATCAACAATCATTGCTCATCAACCATCATGATCTATCAACCATTATAATTCACCATCCATTATTATCCATCAACGGTTATTATCCATCAAGCATTATTATCCATCAACGGTTATTATCCACCAACCATCATTATTCATCAACGGTTATTATCCATCAAACAGCATTATTCATCAACCATTGTTGTTCCTCAACCATCAATCTTCATCAACCACATTATTAATCAACCATCATTAACCATCATCATTCATCAACCATCATTGTTCATCAACCATCATTTTTCATCAACCATCAATATCCATCCACCATCATTATCCATCAACCATCATTATAATTTTTAAACAGATCATATTCAACAAATACGCAACCAATCCGAAAAAGATTTTATCCCACAGGAGCCTGAGAATTTATAACTGTTGAAAAATTAAATAAAGACAGTTTTTATAAAACATTGACACATCAGTTCAAACCCTTAATTGAATAAGGCAGAGAGCGATTAGTTATAAACAAAATATAAAATTGTGAACCAAACAAAAGGATATAGGCTCGAAATGGAGATAAATAGGAGCTAAAGCAATGCAACTCGAAGCAGGAGGTAGGAGAATAAAAGTAAGAACGGGATATATATTCTCCAAGGTAAAGGCGCTTCTCAAGAATTACAAACTCTAGGCGGAGTCCCACACATATACGTAGACGATAACTTCTGGTGAAAATATATTTCAGTAACGAGGTTTCCTACAAAATACAGATTGTTATTGACGAACAAATGTGAATAATAATTGTTAATAAAATGTAACTATTTGATTGACGAACAAATGTGAATAAAATGTAACTATTTGATTACAACTAATTAAATGTTTATTGAAACTGATAAATAGGAATTTTAAAGGAAAGGTTCTGTTGTGAATCGACCAAGAAATATTTTAAGGTACTGATGGGAATTAATAAATGAAATATTTTAAATGGGTACTATTGTGAATCAAACATGAACTTACGATCTATTGTCGTATAGTACGGGAATAGTGGTTGGAATCGGAGTCTAAACTATTCAATTTCTGAAAAAAAATATTCATTTGGTAAAAAATTAATTCACTATTAGTTTGCAAAATGATTCACTGAATTTTAAGCGTAAATTGTTTCTATTTTTTTACGAATTTAAATCTTATTGTTGCACGAGGATTTTGTTTACGTTTATGCAGAAACCTTGAACAGTATTTGGTTTGGAGAAGAAAGTGGACGGAGGTCTGACGGAGATGTAGTTTGTCAAAGACGACTTTTACAACAGGGTAGTTTATGGGATATGGTTCACAAAAATATATACCCAGACTTGTTTAAAACTAAATAAATCTATTTATCCATATTTGTTCCAATATATAACGAAAATTGTGAACGTGAAAAATTATAAAAAAAATAATAAAAAAAATGTGTCTGAGAAATTAAAATTTTAAGAATAAAAAAATAAGAAAGAAAATATCAACTGTAAATTATCTAAAATCAATAGAAATTAAGTATTGAATATTTCTTATATTATGAAGAGCCATGGCGAGAAAATCTGTTAAATCTATGGAGGATGGAGAACAGAGAAGAGATCCAAACCATCAGATGGTTAGCAGGGGTGAGTGAAGTGAACATACAATCCATTATCTAGAAGCTCACACTATTGATCGATGTGAAGCTCGGGGTGCCGATCCTGAGAATTATGTCGAACAGAGCGGCCATAATGGACAAAGTCATCAACATACTGCTATTGGAATCTGAAAACAAGGATACAGAAAACCAAGGAAAGGGAAATGACTATGAGGATGACACATACCCTGAATCAAAGAATAAGGATATTCTGAGTATGCCTCTGTTCACATCATTATATATTCTTTGATAGTCAGACACCTACAGGACCTCTGACACTCTCAACTGTTAACTAATGAGATTGTTGAAAACAAGGAGATATTGAATAGAAAGAGGGGGCGATAGGGTTTCCGTACACTTTGCTGTGACGTTTTTGGACTGCTGAAGAACTAGTTTTTGCGTAACAAGAATAATAAAGATTGTAAACAATAACACAAATGATTAACAAACATCTGGCATCTCTGGCGTATTTATAAAGGGGGGGGGGAGGGTGGATAACCTTGAATTTGATTAAAAATGTCGCTGTAATAAGGTCCTTTTCGTATAAAACTAAAATCCTTAACTTTTTCAATATTTTTTTAACAAGATAATACTACTTTCACAGTTTACTAACTCATGTTTGTTTACATTAGATCGGCTGTCTTTGTTATTGTTGTTACACAAAAACTAGTTCTTAAGCAGTCCAAAAACGTTACAGCAAAGTGTACGGAAACCCTATGGCCCCCTCCT